TGAAGTAATCAGTATATTTGAAGAGCATACTAAATTTATGAAGAGTAACTCAATTACAGCATTTCACTTAACTTGTGAAATTTCTATATAACCTTTAGACTCCACAAGATAGTAGCAGTCTAGAAAATGATCAAACAAAACACACATAAAACCCAAAAGGATTAATTAACATCAGTGGAGAGTTCTGGGAAATATGGCCAAAGAAAAATCTGGTGGAAATATAGGTGTTTACAAAACATGGATTGGTTCATGATATTCAGACACATAACTAGTAAGAAAGTGAAAACAGTAAGTTAGTAAGCCTACCATTAATAATCTGTAAATCTACCCAAGTTCAAAAAAGTCCATGAGGAATCAATGTGAACCCAAAGGGAATATTACTAATAAAACAGGAAGCTTTTAAGCAAGTACTCTTTTAAGCAAGTAAACTTCTTCCTTTCTCTCTCAACTCAGAAGCAGCAATTTAAAGGGATTTTCAAAACACCTAATAAAACAAACTTGCCAAGACTGCTCAGACAAGAATCATAGTGAAAGCTGGGAGAAAATATTTTTAAAGGGAATATACTACTGGCAAAAATTAAGTGCCAAAATTCCAGTGTGACAGATTGTTTAAATGTATTTCGTGGAAACCACAAAACATAAGGGTTTATTTAGCGAAACACTTTTAATTTCTTCATTACATTCATCCCCTTTCTTAACACTCTTTTGAAACAACACAGAATCTCTATCTTTTATATCAGGTCTAGCATTGTTGAAGTTAGAGTTTACCAAGATTACCAAAGTGGCTTTAGGCTATGATATCTCATACTGGTTTCTGAGGTTCCACTTGTAGAACAAATACAATCAAGGCAGACAGCCTCCAGGGACTGTAATAAGCATAGCCCCAAGGTGTCTAAAACCAGCTTAGACAACATCATTAAGGCAGGAAAAGTAAAGTCAAGTAAAATTTCTAGAGACCAGATTATTTAGACAAGAGTCTGAAAAGGGAACTTGGAAAGCTGAGGAAGATGCAAAATTCAGTAATTTTAAAAGCAATTTCCAAGGAATCCCAGAGATCAAAGAATTCTTCTTGAATTAAAAATGGAGGAAAGGTATCACATATACAAGGGAAGTGCTGAGTCCTTACACCTAGCTTTAAGACATTAATTTGTAAAAGTATGACTGACCGGTACAGCACCACACTGACTTAAGCGTTTCAGGCAACACTACAAGCAGAATCTAGCACAGTAAGACAAGATGGCATAAATTTACAATGAAGGGGTGCTTCCTTCAACCACCAGAAACGATATAAAATAGTTTCTTGAAATTTAAAACACACGACTTACTAAAAAGCTTTATTATACTTAGTCCTATAAGTGACAATTTTAATTTTACAGACTTGGAATATACTTTTAGTATAAATGCTTCTGCCTCCATCTTCCATTCACCACATTTTTACTTCATCTTCCTATTATAAAGTAATTAATTCTCAGGAGAAGAGAGTGGGGAGTATAGCAACTTGAGGTGGGGACAGCTACACAGAATCCTCTTAAGGCTTTCAAACACTACAGAGCAGCTAGTCAGCCCATGTCACCTGGAAAATGACTTCCTGTAACGAGATGTTACTGGGGCGGGGGGTGCTGGTGCAAGTGTGTGAAGGCAGACTCAGGAACCTCAGAAGTAGTATAGTTAACAAGAGTTTGCATTATTAATAATTTTCATGATTTTCAAAATATTTTCACCTCTTTCTTATTTGAGTTAGAACACACTCCCTCATTTAGTGGTAAATGTCTACTTCATAAAATGACACGGGGCAAAATGTAGTTATTAATGCATCAGGTAAACCACTAAAACAGTAAGCCAAAAATCGGCCTAACAAAAATATTTTTATTTAAATAGAATTAAAAGTTCTTTGAATCTCTAACCACTGCACAAATTTAAGAGGGTACTATTATGGCCTACAAGACTATAAACTCCTTGAAGACAAGGAACCATGTCTTATTCTGTAGCCTCCACAATTCCCTTAAAAATGTAAGTTTTTAATGAATGGAATTAGCTTATATCGATTTATTTATTAATATGTCCATTCAAGAGTTACTGAGCACTGATTGTCAGTTCTGTGTTAGTCTCTGTGTTGGCTCAGATTTTTACTAAATTTTAGCTCTTAGTTAAAAAAAAATTCACCATTCCTGTTGCTTTTTTTTACTCTTGATTACTAACTTGACCGGAATAACATTTCTATATCAAGTTTGAATTGAATTATTAAATGGTGGGTGCACAGATAGATAAATAACATTAATATAATGTCTCAAATTAGTTTTCCTTATATCTTGCCCCTGAAACAGAATTTCATTGTGTGTTTTGGTACAGGAGATCGAACTCCGGACCTTGTGCTTGTGGGGAGGGTGGCAGAACCACTGAGCTAAATCCCTAGTCCCTGAAACAGAATTTCAACACAGCCATGATAGTGGCAATAAATGGTATTTGACAGTCATCTCAGTAACAGTTGCTGGACTGAAGCTCATGATGTGATACCAACGGATAAATAATATTTGCACAGCACAGAAGAATTTATAGGCTCACAAACTGGGCATATCTTTTTAGTCCTCAAAACTCACGTAACAAATGGGAGAACTGAGACTAAGCAAGGAACATCCTGCTATTCAAAAAGGCAGAGCTGGGATTCTGAGTTTGAATTGGTTTTTGTGAAGCCTACAGTCTCTTCTCTCTTCAGCACAACTGGTTCCTTCCTTCCAATGCAAAAGCTCAGAAAGTTGTACAGACTGTGACCGTGAAAATAATGTCTAAGAAAGGTAAGGCTTTGAACTGGGAGAAAATAGTTACTAAAATTGACAAACAGCTCAGGGAAAAAATTAAAAAGTTCTCTTTAATGAGACTAAAATTGGCATGATGTTGAGAAACAAAATAGGCAATAGAGTGAAAAATAACTTAATATAGACTTGTTTGATGATCAACAGAAATTTGATATTCACAAATCCTCAGATGCCCTAATTTATAACTAATTCATTGTTTGCCTAATAATTGGAAATTTTCCAAGTCTCTCTTTAAAAATAGAATTATAAAAAACATACAATCTTGTTCTTCAACCCAATACTCCATAGTATAAACTACTCATTGACACATGGTGGTCCAAGCAGGAAAGACAGATAGAAGTACATTTAGGTTCTTTTATTAGGTTCTTATTTAAAGTATGTTAAAGGACAGCAAACATATTTGAGAATTGAAGCATCATTTTTTGTTTCTTTTTTTTTAATTTTACCAGTGAAGGGCCGGGGATTTAGCTCAGTAGTTCCGCTGCCTGCCTTGCAAGCACAAGGACCTGAGTTTGAGCCCCAGTACAAAAAAAAAAAAAAATTACCAGTGAAATCCTGAGTAACTTAAGAGTACTTATTATTAACCTTCTGAGTAAGAAAATTCAAATTGCAAAAGCTGGCAGCAAAACAGATCTTCATTCAACAATGAATTCACTTCTTCATATTAATTTTCATTGAGTGGCTTCTATGTTGCAGGTAGTAAACACTATATTCAAATACAAACAAGTTGAAATATAGCAGAAAACACGTAAATCCTGAGTAACTTAAGAGTACTTATTATTAACCTTCTGAGTAAGAAAATTCAAATTGCAAAAGCTGGCAGCAAAACAGATCTTCATTCAACAATGAATTCACTTCTTCATATTAATTCACATTGAGTGGCTTCTATGTTGCAGGTAGTAAACACTATATTCAAATACAAACAAGTTGAAATATAGCAGAAAACACGTAAACAATATGGGGCTCTCAATCTTGCTATAAATGGAGATAAATTAACTTATGTTACTGTAAATAGCAGCCATTCAAATGCCACAGTTGTCCCAAGTCTACCAACATTGTTTAATATACATTTTTCTAATTCTATTCTAATTTCTATTTGTACTCTTAATGTAAAGTTGCTCAAATCTTTTTCAATAGCCAAAGAAAAAAGATTTCCTTTTCTCAGGAAGATCAGTATGTGTAACCTGAAGAGATCTTTTCCCTACCCATTAAATCTGTATGAAAAATTGTTTTTTGGGCCAGGGATTTAGCTCAGTGGTTCAACTGCCTGTTTCGCAAGCCCAAGAACCTGCATTCAATCCCCGGTACAAAAAAAAAAATTGTTTTTTGCTTTTACAATTTAGTTAAAATGGTTAAATTTGATCAATTCAGAATGTATTTGGTCTTTTTGACTCACTGCTGCACCCTGACTGGCTAGAACTGTGCTTGGCACACAGTATTTTGTTGAATGAACGAATTATTCCTATGATCTATGGCTCATGACATAAGGGTTTATCCAAGAACTTTTTCTTTCAATCAACTTCTTAATGCTTCCAAACTTGAAATAAAGAAAACCCCTAGTGTTTACATCAGTCTGTGGAAAGCAATCATTCTACATATGTAAACAATAGCATGTGCAAGGTGCACAGTTAAGACAACTTGGGGGTCATCAGCTGCCCGCCATATTTCTCTAAGTACCACAGCTAGCAGGGCTAAACTGTAAAGCATCCGGAGGACGCAAGCCTTATAGCGACAGTTAATTATCCTTGGTAAACTAATTCTCCACTAGAAGTGTTCCTTTATCAAGGCAAGAACCATTTAAAATTAACATTCTAAGAAACAGAAAACAGCAATCATACAAAAACTGGGGGAACTATGATAGTCGCTGAGTTGTCTCATGAACCTGTTGTCCTTCTCAAGGGGGACTACTCAGTTTCTATTTAAAGGGACACTGCTTTCCCTTAGGAGGAAAAAAAGAAAAGGAAAAACTTGGAAAACCTGAGTTTGGAAGAAAATTCCTTTTATAAGATACGAAGAAAACTATCTATTTGGAATTGCCAAAATAATGTTTCCTGAGAAACTAGTATCGGCCAGTCTGGAGTTGAGCCACGGGGCATGATTTGGGGGTACAGGCTTCTGCCCTCGATGCCAAGTCTCAGATCCCATAAGGGAAGCAGAAGGTGAAACAGGAGACAGCGTGGCCCCGACCTGTCTCCCGGGAGGCCAGGGGGCCGAAGGGGCCACTGTCTGCTCCCAACTTTGTCAGCCTTCCCCTCCCGGTGCACGGGGTCCCCAGGTCTCCGGCTCAGACCCCCAAACTCGCAGGCTGACGCGGAGCCCAGGGCCAGCGGGGCTCCGTCGGAGTCACTTCGGAGACCCGGCGGCGAGGGCTAGGGGATCGCGGGTCTCGGAAGAAGGGGGTTCGCC